ACCCTTCACCGTGTTGTGCCATCTGCTTCCACAGTTGATCAGACAGCTTCGCCTTAGGGTCATCCAGGCGTCTTGCTGGATGTCTGTTGCCGAGGCGAATTTAGTTAGTAACTTGAGATGTCAATCTGTTGTCTTTCAGATTGCCACAAGCCTGAAATCAAACCATCGCACTTGGAACACGGTTTGAAGGGAGACTTAGCATATTCAGCTTTCCGTCCACTTTGCCTAACTACAATTTCCTTTTATCAGCTTTTGTGGTAGACTAACAATCCAGGAAATAAGTAATAGCAGGTAAAACGGCAAAGTGAACAGAATTTTCTTTATGAACCTATGACTGTTACCCAGCACAGATGTTTCAGTGTAATTGAAATTCACTCATGCCGCCTCCTTTGTTATGCTGATCTCAGAGTTGATGCTGCTATTGGAGTTTATTCGTAGGTAGTGACTTTTTTCAGTTCTTCGCCCTTAATATCATCCACGGGGGATACAATATCATCCACGGGGGAGTGCCGATTGCGCATCCATTTCGTGCTGGAGATGCTAATCTCCAAACCAGTGGCTGATGACTCCTTCCACAACTGCAAAAACTTTGGAGTTTCGTCGGTCTTTAATAAAGATAGTGACGTCGCCTTCAAAGAGCAGAGGGACGAGACGTTCTGCATCGATGTTAACGCTACTCCGCATGAGTTCAGATGGTTAAATAGAGATTCGCAAAATTTGTGAGAGGGAGAGAGAGATAGTGTCAGAGATTTGACATACTTCTCTTTTGGAGTTGATTCGATGTGGTTCCTTGAACAGGCTGAAATCGGCTGCGGTGGCGGTATTCAATTCCTCGATCAGGTTCATGCAGGACAGGCTGATGCCTCAGTCGCACAAGGCATTCAGAATAGCGTTCAATTAGATGGAATCAAATTCTTTCTTGTCGATGAACAGGTGACGGGGAATTGGCACTGTTCGCATTTCCTTGTTAATCGCAAGTGTGGTTCATAGCAAAAAATCCTGTTCATACACCAACTTGATCTTTACTAGCGAGTGGTTATAGGTTTTTCTGGATACGGATGATTTAGGTAAAGATATTGTAGATTTCTGCTAGGAAAGTGATGGGTCGATGGTACTGGAGGCACTTCATTACTTTTCTTGGAAAGAACAATCGTTTAAGAGCCCTTCCATGTTTCTAGCGTCTACTTCAGCCTGTTGCACTGCGAAAATCGTTCGGCAACGTCTTTGAACAAAATCGTTACTGCCAACTTTAAAAGTTTCGGATTAACTCTTGTACACCGTTCTTGCCAGGATATCCACTGATCTTATGGCCAGCACATTTTTGTAAGAAAAAATAGAGCAGCAACAATTTATCATTCTAATACCACCATGTCAATTAATTGACTTGAAAAATTGCAAGAGTTTAGTGATATGTAAATAATAGAACGAATTTATCAGTTCTGTTATGCGGAATCAGTCACTAAGAAACGGCGTTGTCACAATGAGTTTAATTAGTGCTTAGAAAAAGATTTCACGATCAAAAGTATGCCGAGATGAAGTCAACCTACGCGCGAAGAGTACGGTACCATAACTGCAATTGCAGCAGGCGCTATGATAAACGAAAAGTGGTGGATGCAAGTTTTATGAAGCAATGTCAATGCTACAGTTTACTCTCATGCCGCAGTAGGTAAATAACTAATGTGCAAGTGATGTTCTGTGATTCTGGGGAGCTGGGGGTAGCTGCCATAATTTAGTCTTTCATTTCAGCCGATCATCATAGCGTTTCAATTTCTGGTATCGGATTTATTTGGCGTGGGCGCCTCGTCTAATCGATTTAGTTGCCAAAGGGGCATCTTTGATCTTTTGT